AAATCCACGGGAATGGATTTCAAATCCCGTGTAAGGGTGAAGGATTCTCAAATCCAGTGTTGGTGGGATTTCAAATGAATCCCGGGATTTGAAATCCGACCATTTCTACAAACCAAACGTAGGATTGAAATGGATTTCAAATCCAAATCCCTCCAAATCCCTCAAACCAAACGCGCCCTAAAAGTATTTTATTAATAGTTTTAAAATCCTCTGAATGATTTTGTATCATGGATCTTTCTTAATCATTAAGAGCCCTAATTTCATTGTATACAATTATCAAACAATTATATTTCATTTTGTATTATATCACAAAAATCTCTTAATCATTCTATACCAAACCATTCAGTAATTGTCAAAAAAACCTCTAAATTTTTTAAAAATTTGGATTCAAACGTTTGGGTGCGGGAACATGTATACACGTTTTTCCGTAAAGCAGTTAAAAATTCACTTTTCTTGCTTTAATTTATGGATTTTTTCCGTTAAATATATATATATATATATATTTTTTGGTTTTTATAATCAATTTAAATATTAATTTTGCAGCTTTTAAAAATTTTAAAAATAATCTGTTTTTTTCTTTATGTTTTACATGAACAGATGATTTCCAAAGTTACAAAAAGAAATGATGAAAACCCAAGAAAAAATAATAAATTTCAAATAACACAACTCGTGTTTCTTGGATTTGAGATATGGGCACAAAGAAAATGGTGACTTTTGCTCCTTGAAATTTCTACTGTATGCGTTATTTCCGGATTCCACTTCGTTTTTTCTTCCATTCTATTTCTCTGTGTCTGTGCTAATTTTATTTCTCTTATTTCCATCGAAAACTTCAATCTTGCTTCCATTTGATTGGAGATTTGAACAATGTGCTCCATAATCGTAATCGGGTATCTCTCTTGTTTGCTTTTTGATCAGAAAAAGGGTTTGTTTTCAGTTAGTTTATTCGAATTTGAACTGGGTTTGTTTATTTATTTGTATTTTTACTCTTGGATTCTTTCATTGATGGTCGATGTAATTGATGATAACCCCAAAATTTTATCGTATTTGGCCGATATATGATCTGGGTTTGGATGTGATTCAAATGGGTATTTACATGCCACTTCACTTGCCTTGGATTCTTGATTACTCAGATAGGGTTTTGATCAAATGAAAAAGGGTTTTTTAGCAAAGACCCAATTCTTCAATTTGTTGGAAATCTGACCACATTTTAGATTTGGGTTCTTCTTGTGTTGATTTTATTTGGCCACTTTAGGGGTTTATTTGAATGAAGTTTACTTTCTCTAAGAAATGGCAACCTGCATACGCAATTGGATTAAGTTTATGAGAGCAACTGCAACTTCTTATGGTGTCAAAATTGTAATTTAGGGTTTTTGACCTTTTCTCATCTGAATTTGAAATGGAAACCCATATCTTATTCTTCCTTTTCAGGGAGTTATTTGATTAAATTGATGAATTTAATGGAACTTCAGAATGGGGTTTGATGTCAGATCTTGATTTTTACTCCAGGGGTGTCATGTATGGATGGATTGAATGTTTTGGCCAGTTTACACCAAGAATTGCTTATATTTAATTGGTGTTCTTTCAATTTCACCTACTTTCTTGCCAAATGCAGAATATTAGGTTGATTGGTGCTGGGACTTTCATATTTGAATATTGTTCTTCTTGCTCTCAATCTTATTTCTGCTTATTGCTTCTGTTTTATTATATTCATTCTCACCATAGCTGTCTTAATTATTGCGATTAGAAGCCGCTAACTAATCTTTGAAAGTAACATCTTTAGAAGTGATGGCTGAAATTGATGACCAATTGGTTGTTGATTCAAGATCTATTTAGTTATATCTAGTCATGTCTTCTTTATGCAATGATTAGATGTGTTTGTATCGATTATGATATGCTTAGAAGTTAGAACTACTCTTGATAGATATATAATTTATTGATGATTAGAGATCTTGTTCATGATATTATTGAAGATGGTTGGTGGGAGAATCTACATGGTACTGAATAGTGGTTTAGAGTTTCACCTACCTATTCTTTGAAAAAAGTTCTTTTTTTCTCCATCCCACGATAATCGCAACAATTTCCGTTTCTGGGTTAATCTTGAAAATTTAAACCATTTGTTTTATTTCAAGATTTCAAGTTAAGATAATGTATTTGTCAGGTTGTCCATTGTTTTCATTAAGAGTTATCGATGGGAGTGCTTTAAGTCCAAAAGATTCTTTTGTATGTCGTTATTGAAGGGTACGTTAGACATTTAGTTAATGCTACGTGTTGAGTCAGATGTTGCAACTTCTGTAGTTAAAAGTCCTATGAAAGCTAGGGGTACCTCAATAAAGCATTAGTTTTTCTCCCTCTTTATGGCATGCTATCTTGTTGCAATTTTCTTGGGACGAAAGGGGTAATAAAGTAATTTCAAAGGATCTTTGATTCGTCCGTATGTTTCAATCTTCAATCTTTAAAATATTAGACATAAAATTGAATAAGCTATGGTCCATTGACTTGCCGGCCTGATTTTGCTTATGCTTTTGGCAATTATATTGTATACATTTGGTCAAAGTTCAGAAACTTCAAATATTTGTATTACATATAAGACGTTCTCATATTTCGCTTTCAAATTTGTGTTTAACAGACGATGCCTGTGCCTTTTGGGAGCAACAACAAAACTCAAGCTTTGATCATGTGTTGAGACACTACAACTGAATCAGCAAAGATTAGTGGGATTTCAATGGCTCCAGGGGGCGGTGTTTGCAAAGATGTTATCGAATCGCACCCTAAAGCTTTGAAGTATGAGACAGCAGGAACAAAGAACGATAAGAGCATTATAAGGACAGCAACTGGAAAACATGGAATGCAGTCAACAAATGGTGTTCATGAGCTTCTTGAATGCCCTGTGTGCACAACCTTAATGTACCCCCCAATTCATCAGGTCTGTATATCATTTAATGGCCATAGATTCATATGTTAACTTTGCTTAAATCTTATGAGTTATGAGATATCCTGAAACAACCTTTTTGTCTCTTGAGACAAAGGTAAGGTTTGCGTACATCCTATCCTACCCCCATATCCTTTTCTTTGGGTGGGATATATTGGATTTGTTTGGTTTGATTTGGTTTCTTCTGTAGATTATCCTCGAACAATCTTTCAGGGGTAAGATCTGCCTAATCCTACCCCCTAGACCCTATCTTCGGGTGGTATATGCTAGGTTTGTTTGGTTTGATGTATTCTTTAGGTTATCCTCAAACAATAGAGATAAGATCTGCTTACATCCTACCCCCAAACCCTATTTCGGGTTGGATATTGTGGGTTTGTTTGGTTTGGTTTGGTTTTTTGGTTTATCTTTAGATTATCCTCAAACAACCTTTTTATCTCTTGAGATAGTGGTAAGGTCTGCGTACATCCTAGCCCCTGAACCCTATCTTCGGGTGGGCTATGCTGGTTTTGTTTGGTTTGAGATCATCCTCACCAAGATCCACGACCTTGAGCATGTGGTGTTATTGAGATCTTAGCCACACAAACGAGCGCCTTGAATCTTGGGCGTTTACCGAAGTGTAAGTACACGTGCCAAGACTTAGAAGTATAATAGATATAGAATCTATAAATCAAGAAAACAGTTATAGGAAGCTTACTTCTACTTCATACCAATTCTTTTGCTCAAGGGAGTTAGAATCAAGAAATTTTGCTCCTTTTTATGTTCAAAACATGCAATTTTGGTTGAATTTGCACCAAATTTGTTGATCATTTTCCTTTTCATCCCATTTTGTAGTGTCCAAATGGCCACACTTTGTGCTCAAACTGCAAAACTAGAGTACACAACTGTTGCCCAACGTGCCGGCTTGAGATGGGAAACATAAGGTGTTTGGCATTGGAGAAAGTAGCCGAATCGTTGGAACTTCCATGCCGACACCAAACTCTTGGCTGCCATGATATCTTCCCTTACTATAGCAAGCTGAAGCACGAGCAAAATTGCCGATTTCGCCCTTACAATTGTCCCTATGCTGGATCAGAGTGCTCGGTTACCGGTGATATCCCATATCTTGTGGCTCATTTGAAGGATGATCATAATGTCGATATGCATGATGGATGCACTTTCAACCATCGATATGTCAAATCTAACCCTCATGAAGTTGAAAACGCGACGTGGATGCTAACTGTAAGTTGCTACCAGTATCTTGTAAAACACGATCTCGAATGGCCAAATGCAATGCAAGCAAGCAGTAAAAGTTGTGTCTTGCTTCGTTATTTGTGTATGCACTCCAGCCCATATGTAGCTGTAGATGGTCACGAGTAAGTTACAGGGTCGAGCCACCTGGTTCAACCGAGGAGCCTTGGTGCACCAGGGTCGACTTTTTCTGTTATTTGAACCGTTGCTTAATGTGTATAAAACTCGGGTTATTTAAATGTGTAGGTATTCAATTGCTATGGACGACAATTCTGTTTGCACTTTGAGGCATTTCAGCTCGGAATGGCTCCGGTCTACATATCGTTCCTAAGGTTCATGGGTGAGGATAGTGAAGCCAAGAAGTTCAGTTACTCGTTAGAAGTGGGAGGGTACGGACGTAAGTTCACATGGCAAGGTGTTCCGAGGAGCATACGGGATGGTCACCGGAAAGTTCGTGATAGTCAAGACGGACTAGTGATTCCCAGGAATTTGGCTCTCTTTTTCTCCGGTGGAGACCGGCAAGAACTCAAGCTAAGAGTTAGCGGTCGGATTTGGAAAGAATAGTGAGTCGAAACGAGAAACTCGTGTTCAAGTTGTATATTGGTAACGATGAACCCGTGATCACGTTGGAGGGTCTCTAGATCGGTTTATGAGAAAGCCCGAATGGGTATTCGTCTGCGAAGCAATGGAGGGTTGTTCTGTTGCTTCGGGTTGTGAAAGCGGAAATGTGAGTTATTCTACGTCTTTGTGTTACATTGGTGGTTTCGAAACACGAATCTTGTGATCTCATATGATGGTACCTTGAATTGTCGTCATATCTTGTCTCATGTATCAAATGCAGTCTTAATTTTATAAACTTTTTCGAGAGTTCAAATGCTCGTCTATCAATCCAATGGTTAATAAACTCAAACGATAAAAACATTTTTATAATAAAACAGATAAAAACCGAAAGCTAATAATTGTTTTTATTGCGACTAAAATTACTACGCTATGTATGATCAGAGGCGGATCTGGTGTATAAGATATGATGGCACATGCTATTGTTTCGTTCTTCAGTTCGACTGAGTCAGTCGTAGGGTAAAAGAAATTGAGGTTGTGAAAGGTGTCATCGTATACATTTTGAAACTATAACAATAACACAAGTTTGTCTTGACAGAGTTGGTTTGGACATTTTTTCTCCCATCCCAAGCGCTGTTTCAATCATTTTTGTAGTAAAAAATTGCGATACAAGACTCAAACACAGGACTTTGCATACAACAAGTAAGGAACTAACCAGCAAACCATGATAATTTTTTGAAAAACATCAGTAGTATCTTTTCTTATAGTTAAATGATGTCACCACTCATAAAAAATTCCTAGGTCTATCTCTGGTACGATCAGTGAAATATTTACGTTTGGTGAGTCACAAATACATACAACATTTGTCTATACGTGTGTTTGTATGTGATACAAGTCTAATATTTTATACGTGAAATATACGAGATTTAGGGCACTTCTACTATTAGTTTGTTTGAGATGACTTAACGATGACAAATGAGGGGTCGTGACTTATTCCTTACAACCCATTTTCGCTCTAACTTAATGATTAAGTTGAGATGACTTAACGATGACAAATAAGTTGTTATGCTTTGATTTGTTGCAATTGGTTACAAGACGATTATTTGACTTTACAGATGCATTCGGTATGTAATAATATAAAGCCTGATGAAAATGACTTAATAAAACTTTATTATCTCATGTTTGACATGACATCATATTAATATAAAACAGAAGTTAATGGAATAAAAGATGCAAATTTTTTTGGTTAGGTAGGAAAAAAATTAAGAAACATGATAGAAGTTTAGGGATGGACCTGTGAAGCCTAAACGGGGTCCAGTGCATTCGATGAACTTATTTTCATAAGTAGAATATTTTTGAGGTATGGAATGTGCATTCATTAAACTTTGAGTGATGCTCCGGGATATTAGAAAATACGAAAAATATCAACCAAAAAACTAGGAAAAAACCCCCTCAAAATCAACTAAAAAACTTAAGGGGCTGTTTGGATCATGGGAATTTGGTGGAATTGAAATGTCCAATCCTTTGACCAAATTCTAAATATGATGTTTGGTTCACATATTATAAGCGAAGGAATCTTTTCAATTCCTACAAATTCATTCGGTAACCGATTTCACAATTCCACTTGATGTACCAAGGATTTCAAATTCCTTTCTTACAAATTCCTTAGCCCTCATCCAAATTTCATATACTAGTAATATAAGTGAAGAATTTCAAATTTTATCAGATGTTAATAATGTAATTTGGTTTAATGGTAATTTTAATTTAAAAAAAATCATAAAAGGTCATTTGTTGATATTTAATTTCCGATTCTAAAGTTGAATTCCGTGAACTAAATAAAAAAAATTCCAATTATGTTAAGAATTTCATTCCAATTCTATGCAACCAAACGCAATCACAAGCCATGGTCAAATTCCATCAGATTCCATTCAATTCCCTCAAAGTCAAATTCATTTTATGAATTCCAATTCTATCGAATTCCATTCTACGAACCAAACGCTCCTTAATGTTCCCTAATGTTCCTCGAAATGGTGTAATTCGGCTAAAACACAGAAGATGAATTTATAGGCCTTTAATCCGTTTTAAATGTGCATCCGCTCAACAAATATCAGGTTGATAAATCACTAAGCTACACATCTCAAATTAAAAAACGGGGAAAAAAGCTCAAAAGCAACTAAAAAAAACTTTGAAATATTCCTTGAAATGGTGTAATTCGGCTAAAATACAGCAGACGAATTTATAGGCCTTTAATGTTACGTGTCGAGATCAAGCAAAAACAATCTTTGAATTCAGTCGGGTTTAGACTGATCATAGCTCAAAATTATGAATGCAAATAGCGGTAATCGGATTGGGACCAGTCCGATGGCTACGTGGGTTAAGAATCAGATCAAATCCGAGCAAACTACGTGGATCAAGTTTCGGATGCATGGAGAGAACGATCTGGAAAAGAGATTGGTATTGATGGGATCCGACAACTAACCCATTATCAACTAAGATGAATCTCCATGAACGTGCAAGCATGAAAGCTATGCAAGCATATATATACATGTGTGTGGGTGTGTGGGTGTGTGGGTGTGTGCGTATATATGTATGTATATATATACATGTATGTTCTCGGTTTTTGAACACTCAAGAAACAGAAGCCGATTTTCCCGCGAACCAAAGAAAATCTTTGTTTTGATTTTCTGTCTTTCCCAATCCGGCTAGAGTGAGGAGAGAGAAATCCCAAAAATCCAAACCAAAAAATTCCAACCAAAATTTTCTTTCATCCTCTCCTCCCGTCAACTCTTGATTTCATATCTTTTTGTTTGTCTGAATCCCTATACTAATTGATTGTTGACGTAAACTCTAGATTTTGAGGTATGATCGTGTAAAATTAGACGAATATTTTGATGTCCCTCGCGTTTCTTTGTTTAATTTGTTTGTGGGTATTACGTGTTTGAGTAAATGCCTCAATGGATTTATGGATTTCCAGAATCATCTTTACTGCGGTTTACGTTTAGATTGGAGTATGCCATTGTTTCGGTTCATAATTGATCCAAAGATGCGTGCTACAATCAAAATGGATTGATATGTTGCATACAGAAATACAGTTCCTTTTCAATGTTTTTTGCAAGTTCCAGTTTTTCTTGGATCAAGATTTTCTTGAAACTGATTAACATTGTTTGAATAATGGGTGATTCAGGAATCTTTTTAGGTAAAATTACAGACAAAAAAAGAACATGGTTTGTTGAAAAGACAGTCTATATTGTGGATTTCTGTGACTTCCATTTGAAGGATGTCTTGCTGTGGAGGTTCTGAAGAGGACGTGGGCGGTACACCCTCGAATAATATTACTACAGCACCACCTCGAGGACCGCCTTATGGTGGAGGTAAGAAAGCTCCACAGATTATGGTAGATTCTTTTTCTTATATATTTGGTGTGGAAATCTTTGAGATGAATATAAGAACACAATTATGTGGTGTTGCAATTTTGATATACTTTTTGTGTTCTAGGGAGTGATAGAGGAGAGCCAAGGGGTTCTGGACCTGCAAAAAGTGGGGTTCCTCAAAAACCCGTGTCAATTGATAAACCAGCATTGTCTTTGAATGAACTAAATAGGATGACAGATAATTTCGGTACCAAGACTTTCATTGGGGAAGGTTCTTATGGTCGGGTCTTCTATGGAAAACTAAGTACAGGAGAAGAAGCAGCAGTAAAGAAGCTGGATACCAGCTCTTCACCTGAGCCCGACAATGATTTTACATCCCAGGTGAGAATTTTCATGATTCAATCATAGACAATGAGAGAAGAATGAACAGGAAATGAAGATGTTAGAGTCCCACATCGACTGGACTGGAACTATTTATTCTTAATATATGTTAGGACATCCCTTCTCTCCTCCAAGTCTCTTTTGGAGGGTCATCTAATGGGGTTTCACATATTCTCACATGGTCTCAGACTCGAGTTCTACCACTTTGGGCAATATGTGCCCGTCTTGCCTCCATTGGAGGGGCCGTGTTAGAGTCCCACATCGACTTGTACCATTTCTTCTCAATATATGTTGGAACATTCTTACATGGAGATTAATCTAATGGTGTTTTACATATTCTCAATTGATATCAGTGCCAAGGTCCACCACTCTAGAAGACTTAAACTGTTTCTTTTCAGTATATGCTGGAACATTCCTTCTCCCCTCAAGGATTTCTTTAGAGAGAAATGTAGCAGGGTTTCACATATTCTCACATAACACATCCATTTGAGTAATCAAAAGTAGCGTCACTAAGAGAGAGATCATTAGCAAAGAGTCTTTGTTGGTATGATCTTGATGTTTAAATTTAATGTGGTTTAATCAGAAGCACTTGAATTTGGCTTCAGACATCAGATCGTTGAAATGTTTTGGTTAGAACTTCTTGATGAAGAGGGATACCATTGTTAGTGCTAATATGCATTTTTCACTATTTTATGAATATATGCAGTTATCGCTCGTTTCAAGGCTTAAGTGTGAGTATTTCGTTGAGTTGCTCGGTTATTCCTTGGAGGCAAACAACCGTATCTTGGTATATCAGTATGCAACCAAGGGTTCTTTGCATGACGTATTACATGGTACACACAACAAGTCGTTTTTCATTTTCTTTTAACTTTCTATTCCTGGTCTTGAATTTTATGATAAATTTGGCTATCTTCTTCGGCTATTCCATAATTTTAGGGAGAAAGGGTGTACAAGGAGCAGAACCTGGTCCAGTCCTCAACTGGGCTCAGAGAGTTAAGATTGCCTATGGTGCAGCTAGAGGTCTTGAGTATCTACATGAAAAGGTTCAGCCTCCAATTGTTCATCGTGATGTTCGGTCCAGTAATGTTTTATTATTTGATGATTTTCAAGCCAAAATAGCCGATTTCAACTTGAGCAATCAGTCTTCTGATACCGCAGCTCGACTGCATTCGACAAGAGTGTTGGGAACTTTTGGCTACCATGCTCCAGAGTAAGTCTTCCTTTTTTTCTTTATCAAATATCCAACAAAATGAAGTTTTATGTAATGCTAGATTTCTTTTAAATTGTTTATTTCATGACCTAAGCTGTTATTTCTTAAAAATTAGAATGCTTGCAAAAATAAATTGTAACCATTGACCTTTTGTGCAACTAATCTAAAAGATTCATGCACAATCCCCCCTTTACATATCCCCGGGGAAACATTAGGCCTTTCGGCCAATGGGTGTGGGCCCTAAGGTATTGATAGCACCCAAACGTATTCGAGCACAACACTTGATGCTTCATGAGGCATCAAGTGATCCACCGATATGCAACCTCATCTGGTTTGATATGTAGTGTTATGGTTTTACTATGAACTAGAAAATTTTGACTTGCTACATGACAAAACCAAACTAAATCAAATGGACCCAGTAAATCCCACTTGGATGTAGGGTATGGGGTGTGAGATTAATGCAGACATTGACGTCTACCCTAAGGAGTAGAGCGTTTGTTTTTGTTAAGACCCCCGGCTTGAATTTTGAATTTTGAATTTTGGCAATATTAGGCTTTCCTACCACATTTGTTATACATGATGTAGAGGCTTCTATAAGTAATATGCCAGTGCTTGTGTTCTTTTGATCATTATTTACTTTTTCATGTAGTGTAAAAGATATATCTCATTTGGAGGTAGAGTCGGGGGTAAGATACACAGACCTTATGTCTGTCTGAAGAGACTGATGTTGTTTCTGTTGGAGAATAAGATTTAGTATGCAGCACAAATATCACTAATATGTTTCTTTTATTTATCCTTTTACCACACCAACAAAGTTAGGATACAATAGGATATTTATACACACCCAACCGGTACAACACCTTCCAACCGGTGGGAAAATAACTGATGTCTATAAATAATAATAACTGCACATAAATAATGATCTAGCTTAATCAATTTTAACACACCCCCGTAAGCTAGACACATGCCATCCCAAGTTCCTTCTTCAGCCTTTCAAAGTTACCCACTTTCAGCGCTTTTGTAAACATGTCGGCAACCTAATCTTTAGTTCCACAGAAATTTACTTCAATCTCGTTATTCTGCACAAGTTCCCTTATGAAGTGGTATTTAATTCTGATGTGTTTACTTCTGCCATGAAAGACGGGATTTCTGGTAAGAGCAATTGCAGAACGATTATCACACATGATCTTAGTTGCTGAATCTTGTTTCATTCCCAAATCAGATAAGATCTCCCTTAGCCACAAGGCTTGACACCCGGCCATAGATAAAGCGATGTATTCAGCCTCGGATGATGATAAAGCAACCACTTTCTGTTTCTTTGCTTGCCAAGAGATGGCTCCCGATCCAATACTRAAAACGTATCCTGCAGTGCTTTTGCTATCGTCCAGATTGCTTCCGAAGTCACTATCACAATAACCTTGAAGTACAGCATGTTYAGTCTTTGTATACATAATGCCATGAACCAACGTACCTTTTACAAATCGCAGAATCTTCTTAGCAGCTTCCCAATGACACTTCTTGGGCGTTTCCATRTATCTACTAATGACACTAACAGCAAACGTTATGTCCGGYCGAGTAGCAGTTAAGTACATGAGRCTACCCACCACACTTCGATAAAGCGTTGAATCCACATACTCATCATTTGAATCCTTAGACAATTTCAGTCCGAATTCCATAGGAATACTTGAAACATCTGCCTCCTTCATGTTGAATTTTTCMAGCAACTCTCTAGCATATTTTTGTTGAGAGATAGATATTCTACCTTCTTCTTGTTTAACCTCAATTCCCAGGAAATAGTGAAGAAGGCCTAAATCCGTCATCTCAAATTYTGTCTTCATGGAATCCTTGAATGATATTATCATGTCATGAGAGCTACTCGTAAACACYAGGTCGTCAACGTAAATGCAGACTATAATCAGTTTTCCTTTCAAATCCTTTATAAAGAGTGTGTGCTCGTAAGTACACTTCTTAAACCCATTATCCACAAAATATTTTTCAATTCGACTGTACCAAGCCCGGGGGGCTTGTTTCAGCCCATACAAGGCTCTCTTTAAGTGACATACCTTCCTTTCACTACCTTTCATGACGTATCCTTGAGGCTGATCTATATAGACATCCTCTTCCAGAAAACCGTTCAAAAATGCCGACTTAACGTCCATTTGATGGACAGGCCATCCTTTATATGCGGCAAGAGCTAAGACCAATCTGATTGTTTCTAGTCTGATCACTGGAGCAAAAACATCTTGGTAATCGATTCCAAAACGTTGTTTGTAACCCTTCACAACCAACCTCGCTTTGAGCTTATCTACTTCCCCTTTTTCATTCAATTTCRTTTTGTAGATCCACTTCACGCCAATGGATTTATGTCCCTCAGGTWAGTCCACCAATTCCCATGTATCGTTTCTRATTATTGCACTAATCTCTTCATCCATCGCTTTCTTCCATCTGCTGTCAGTAATRGCATCTTCGAAACATACAGGATCAGCATCAGCAAATAAGACAAAATCGGCAACATCATCAAGATCTAATCTTTGAGTATTTTCATACAAGTCCCTCAGACTTCTATATTTCTTTGGTGGTGTATTAGATGGGTTGGCGATTGAGGACTTGGAGCATTATCCTCGTTAGTGTTGAGAGGAGAGGTGTTAGAGTTGTCTTGAATACCTTCATCGTTACCTTGTGCTTCAATATCGTGAACCTGGGAATTGTCTTCACTCATCTCCACGTTTACACCATTTTTATCCACAATGGGTCCCGTCCAACCTTTATCTTCTACAAACTTAACATCACGACTTATAACCACCTTCCCAGAAACGGGGTTATATAGCTTATATGCTTTTGATTGTTCGCTATATCCTACAAATATTGTTTTTTCAGAACGATCATCTAGTTTACCTCTTCTYTGCTCAGGAATATGAGMATATGCYWGGCATCCAAAAATCCGAAGGTGACCCACACCAGGTTTGTGCCCACACCATGCTTCTTGRGGTGTAAGATTTTGAAGTGCTTTAGTAGACGCTCTATTCATRAGATAWRCAGCACATGCTACTGCCTCAGCCTAGAACATGTCAGCCAAACTTTTGTGTTTAAGCATACTCCTGACCATTTCTAGAAGATACCGATTTTTTCTCTCAGCAACCCCGTTTTGCTGAGGGGTATATCTGGTCGTTAACTGATGATGTATACCGTTCTTGACAAGAAAGTTCTGAAAATGGATCGCATTGAACTCACCTCCACGATCCATCCTTAAACATTTTATTTTTTCATTACTTTGGTTTTCCACAAATGCCTTGAAGATCAGAAAGGTACCAACGACTTCCGATTTTTCTTTCAAAAAATATTTCCAAATTCTTCTACTGAAATCATCTATGAAAGTTAGTACATACCTRCTTCCACCAATAGAAATTGTTTGCATTGGTCCACACAAATCCGAGTGGACTAGTTCAAGAACCTTTGTTGCTCTCCATGCTTTGTCTTGRGGAAATGGTTCTCGAGAATGCTTTCCCAGAGTRCARGCTTCACAAATCTCGTCAATTCTTCTTATGGTTGGCATACCTCGTACTAAGTTACGTCTGCACATGTAAGTCAAAGAATCGTAATTTATGTGACCRTACMTGTGGTGCCATAGGATCGAAGAATTTTGACTGGTTGTATGAAGGCTGAAAAACTCTTCATCTTTAAATTTGATGGGGAACATTTTATTAGTAGCCATGTAAACCTTTCTCAAGAAATGTTTGTTCTTGTCAATGATTTCTGCAGATCCATCTTTGAAGTGAATTTCATATCCCTTCAACAAGAGTTGTCCAACGCTCAACAAGTTGTGCTTTAGACCTTTTACATAGTACACATTTGATATTCGTTTGTCTCCCTTCCTGGTTTTGATCACGACTTCACCAATGCCCTGCACTTGTAATTTATTGTCATCGCCTGTTTTTACTTCTCCTCTTATAGGCATCTTCAATGAATACAAACAAACTTTTGTTTCCTGTCATGTGATTACTGCTGCCGCTGTCTAGATACCATGTCTCTTCCTTGGTTGTTTCTTGAATTCCAAACATCATGACATCGAATCTTCTTCTTTATTGTCCTCTCTATGCACGAAACTAGATGTACCCTCTTCTTCGGCAATTCTTTTCTTGCAAAATCTTCTAACATGCCCAAATTTCTGGCAGTGGTAGCATTGAATTGGAGAAAATGGCTTTCCTCGTCCTTTACCTTTGTTGTTGTCGTATTGATCATTCTTGGAGCCTTCGCCTGATCTTGACTTGTTATTCGAACTTCCTTGGATATTAGTTTGTATTTGAAATGCTTGCTCTAAGTGTTGGGAGTCAAATTGTTTTAATCTTAATTCGTGCGACTGCAGAATGCCCAAGAGATTTTCAAGAGACAAATCTGATAAATCTTTTGACTCCTCTATCGCAACAACAATATATTCAAATTTTTGTGTTAAACTCCTTAGGATCTTCTCTACCACCCTTCTGTCTTCAATTTTTTCACCATTAATMCGTATTTGATTCATGAGGACAATTACCCGATTATAAAATTCTTCTATGCTTTCATTCTCTTTCATCTTCAGATTATCGAACTCACACCTGAGGATYTGTAGGCGTACCACTTTTACCCTTTCTTCTCCACGATAGGCCTTCTGAAGAGTATCCCATGCTTCTTTGGACGTTGTTGYTGTTGAGATTCTTTCGAAAACGTTCTCGTCTACTGCTTGGAATATGAAAAACAACGCCTTACTATCTTTCTTTTTGTTTTCTTTATCTTCCAGAATCTGCTGGGGAGTTGTTCCATTGGTTTGTACCAATTCCTTATACTCGTTTTCTACCAGTGTCCAAAGGTCTTGTGATTCGTAAAGAACCCTCATCTGGATATGCCATTGATGGTAGTTTCTTCCAGTCAGTTTTGGTAATTGGGGTTGAATACCATTGTTGATGTTTGAAGCCATGCGAGTCAGGGCTCTGATACCATATGTTGGAGAATAAGATTTAGTACGCAGCACAAATATCACTAATATGTTTCTTCTATTTATCCTTTTACCACACCAACAAAGTTAGGATACAATAGGATATTTATACACACCCAACCGGTACAACACCCTTCCAACCGGTGGGAAAATAACTGTTGTCTATAACTAATAATAACTGCACATAAATAATGATCTAGCTTAATCAATTTTAACAGTTTCAAGAAGACCCGTGGCTTGCAATAAACATTTTCATATAGTTTAAAAGCATGAAATCACTAGTTTATCTTCGTTTTTTGACATGTTTGTCCTAATCCAATTGAGATGGAAAAATGGAGGATATGTTGATGAAATGACATAATATCCATGTTTTGATCCAGGTATGCGATGACTGGACAAATAACTCAGAAGAGCGATGTTTATAGTTTCGGGGTTGTTCTTTTGGAACTTTTGACGGGAAGGAAACCGGTTGACCACACGATGCCCAAAGGACAACAAAGTCTTGTTACTTGGGTGCGTCTTGCTACTGATGATCTTTGTTACACTCTCCATCCCATAACCAATTGCAATATTTGACTGAACACATAGCTATTAGAAATCTCAACTAGCAATCAAATATCTAAAATGCTATCCTCGCTACAACAAAATCCGTTTTATAAGTAGCCAAATATGTCTAAATGTCCTAATAGACTGCTTTAAACGACTTAATTTACAGCAGCAACCAATTGTGCACCATATGTAAAGGCGTTGCAATAAGTTGATAGGAAGCTTTTGGGCGTTCATACAAGTTTTTTACAACACTTTTGAAATGGAGCGTCCTATTAGTCTTTTTATACGATATTATTTGAAAAAAAGTGTATTGTAAAAAAAAACAAGTGTCATGCCCCGTAAAAAAGCTAATAGGACAATTTATTTCAAAAAGTATCCTAAAAACTTGTTAGGATGCCCAAATAAGTACTAACATATCATTGTAACACCTTTCAGACACAATTGTTTGGACTTATAAACTAAGTCCTATAGCAGCTTATTAGGCATTTAGATATATTTAGCGTTTTATAAAGCAATTTCGTCTAGTGTCTATAATGACCAAATAGACGGGATCTTGTGAATAGAATCAAAATAAGTCATTTCGGCTTCAAATTTCTCAAATACAAATACAAAAACATACGTTCCTCGTTAACACACACTTGACACAATGCATCGATGCTCATGATATTTATGATCTATTTGCTACAGGCAACTCCAAGATTAAGCGAGGATAAAGTAAAGCAATGTGTTGATCCAAAGTTAAACAACGAGTACCCTCCAAAGGCAGTTGCTAAGGTCAAACCATTTAATGTTGATACTAGCCTACCGGGTTATCATCTTAAACGGCCACCATTTTATTTTCTCTTACAAAATAGCCAAGAAACCACAAGCTATGGTATCTCAATTTATTTTTGCGGTGGACCCACTTTTCATGTGGGTGTGTCATAAAATGTCATAAACCGCAATGAAAAGTGCCTTACAGCATTGACTTACAGTCGATTTGGCTATTTTATGAGAAAAAGTTTGGAGGTAGCTAAAAAGTAAAACTCTTTTCCTCATGTGGTTATTTACGATGATAACCCCCTAGCCTACCCCCTTTCTGTTTTACACACAAAAGCACACACTAAATTGGTCTTGTTTGTTTCCATGGTCAGATGGCAGCTGTTGCAGCACTGTGTGTTCAATATGAAGCAGATTTCCGGCCAAATATGACGATTGTCGTCAAGGCTCTGCAGCCGCTCCTCCATCCGAAACCACCGGGACCAGAGTCTCAAGCTTCATAAAGCAAATTTGTAGGAAACCACATTTGAGTTTTTTTTTTGTTAATCTACTTTGAAAACTTAGCTTGAAATGTACAAGAACCAGCTATGGAAATGTGTATTATATTGTTGAGATCATGATCCCAGAAGTAGAAATGGTAAATATTGACATGTTCAAGAGTCTGAGAGACCCCATTTGTTCAAATTTCAAAGTTTTGTAGACCATTTGTAGCAAGTATTCATGTAAGAATGAAAGATTTAATACAATTTTAATTTCATGACTGAAAAGGCGTGTCAGTTATTGTTGTTGTGGTAAGAGCTTCTACAATAAACTTCTTTTTGAAACGTTTTTTACAAAAGAGATGGAACCCAGAAGAAAAAAAAAAGATTTTTAAGAGCTTGTAACTATACATTCATAAAGCCGAGTTCTTTTGGTCAGTAGCTTTTTCATAAGCTTAGATGGCCAAAAAGCTCTGCAACGAACTTTTTGAAAAAACTCCATTACAAATCAAATGGTTAGGGTTTGTTGTCGTGGATCCCACTCTTGGCTAAAATGATTGCTCTCATTTGTTTCGGCAAAGAATACAAAGTCAAAGAAGACCGAACAACATTACATGATTTTTTTGCTTGTAAGAACCAAAATTTTTGTGGGTTTTTTCACCATTTAAACATAGTTTTGTGGTTTGTTTTACATGTCTTGAAAGTTTGTATGAATTCTTTCTACCCCTTTAAATTTCACATGTAGACAACACTCTCAAACTTTAGGGACTAAATATGTAAAAAAAAACTTCAGGGATAGAAAATCTTGACTTTAACTAATTAATACCAGGTTCACTTACACCAATTCCAACCACAGCACCAAAAAAGCCGAAATTGAGAAGCGTTGGTACCAAAACAAAGTTCACATAGACAAACATGCCGTTTAAACAAAAACACGACATATATGGCCTTTCTCTCACATCTCCAGTATTTTACCGTTCTTTTTGCCTATACTGATTGGAGCTTCCAAACCGAAAAAATGGTACAATTGGAGATACCCATATAAATGGTACAAGGGTGGTGCCTGATTGGTTTAAGTTTGGCTCCAAAGATCAAAAGTACCAAGAGGTTCCAGGTTCAAATCCAAGGAGGAATAAAAATCCCCTTTTGGCCACGGAGGTTCTAATACGGTGACTCCAGGCCATCTACAAAGCATGTGGTCGCCCTGGGATTAGTCGGCTCGCATAGCGGGTTGGATATCCAGATTAATAAAAAAAACTCATAGTTTCATCTTACTCCTTTCTTTTCCAAACAAAAAAAAATCAGACCTTCACTTTCCAAGTTCAAAATTGATGTGTTAGTCGAGTCGATACATACAAACATTTAAACTCGATTTATAAGTTATTATATCGAACCCCAGATATCGTTTGAATTATCTTTCTATTAAAAGAAAGAAGAGGAATGAGACGAGATAAAAAAAAATTCTATGGGAAAAGGGTAAAAATAGCATGATACATAATAGTTCCTTCAAATGGGGCTATCCATCTACTGTTCTTTCTTACAGTCTTTTTAACTTGTCTTTTGTCCATTGCTTTCTCTTTGCTTCTTCTATCTCCAAAGTTTTCCCGTTTCGACCAAACCTGCATCGCCACAAAACACTAAGCTTCGGTTGCTATGAATCAAACCGACCAATAGCGGGTGGCAGAAACTTGCCTAAAATAAATCAACGTCGTGTTCGTGGCTTGCACCGAAATTCAGCCAAGAGTGCAATGTGATCAGAGGACCATTCTGGAGAAGGAAGCGCGGTGTCTTTCCTCAAACTATCCTCGTCCAAAAGCTCCAACAACGATTCTACAGTCAAGCTGTCCGCTGAAACCACAAAATTATATAAACTCGTAAATTTACATACGAAAAGAAAAACAGCAAGCGTCTTGCCTCCACAACAAAATCTGCTTTATAGGATGCCATATATGTCCAAATGTCCTAATAAACCGCTTTAAACTCGTAAGTGTGCTGTTAGTCTTTTTATGACATTATTTGAAAAGGTGCCATGTAAAAACAATTGTCCTATAGACACACGTTCATAGGACACTTAAACCTTGTTAGGATGCTCACGTACGTCATAACATCCTATAAACTTTTACATAGGACGCACAATTGTGTGTCCTATAAACTTAAGTCCTGCAGTGCAGTCTATTAAGACATTTTAGGGGATGTTTGGTTCGTTTTCCATTAAGACCCATATGGATAAAGCTGTCTGTATGATATAAGATAAATTATGGTTCGGCTGTTATGCTGAATAAACAGCCTGAATGTTAAAAGTGACCATTTTACCCTTAATGTTTTGTTTTGGAGTTTTTCTTTCCTCACCTGCCATTAAACAATCACCAAAACCCATCACCTCCCCTTCCGTCCATCCCAACCCATTGCTCCCATTTCAATTTTACTTGTCTAATTTTCCATGCCTCCAGAAATTCTAACTACACTAATCTCAATAATTCATACCACCACTGAACCCAAAAACTCCAAAACATTTTTACAACAGTAATTTAATTAATGTAGTCCTAATTATCTGATTAAGAGCCATGGATACTGTGAAAAGAAAAGGGAAAGGAAGAGCAGCAAAGAGAATGAAGACGAGAGGTAGAAAGTTGGTGGGTGGTGAAGTAAACGGTTGCAGGTGCAGGGGTAGAAGGAGCATATGTGGGTCTTGCCATATAGGGGTGAAGTGAGCGGTTGAAGGAACATGGGTGAAGTGAACGGTTGCAGGTGCTGACAATCCCTAAAAATAACAGTGGAGGGAGATGCAGAGGGAAAAAGGAAAAAGGGGTTGACAGTGGGAGAAATATGAGATCACAGCAAAATACCAACCGGAGGAGAGGGATGCAGTGGTGCTGCCATCGTGGTGGTCACCATGGGAGAGTAGATCAAACTTTGTTGAATGGGGATGAAAATGAAAGAGGGGAGGGGTAAAGGGGGAATAAAAAGGTGAATAAATGACTGAATGCAAAGGAGACTATTTTTTGGCTGAACAAATAAGCCATACAGCCTATTCAGCTCATCAAGCCACAATAGCCCCTTAGACAAATTGGCATCCTATAAACCCAATTTTGTTGCAGTGTGTGAATATTAATAACGATCCACTTTAATGCCATGTTGCAAGCAGTACACAAGTCCTTGGATAATATCCAGAAAACAAGCAAGATTTGTTGCAATGATGCTTGTTTTTCAACGGGTTTGCATTCAAGAAGGTAACTTTTATAAGTTGGCCCTTTTGTTATAACATTTTATATAATTTGCAAGCACAAAGGAATTTGGATATACCAAAAGACAAAGTAAAAGCATCTTGCAAAATTCGAAGTTATACATACCCGAGTAAAATATATAATCAAGGGTACCAATGAAGTCTCGTGTGCAATTTGTAAATAATGGTTCGTTTGTAGCAGGATCCACTCTCCTCTTTTGTTGCTCATAACCAAGACCAACCCCGATTCTTGCAAAAGACGAGTACGCACTAACCTGTAAAACACACGGCCATTATCACCAAATTCAAGAAAACCGCCTTAATAATAATATTTGTACAAAAACTTGGACCAATAATTGAAGATATATCTTACCAAGGGCAGAGAGTGGGTTAGTTTCGTGGCAGGTCGCAGAATTCCAAGAGGGTCTACTGCTAAATCTGGATGCATTGGATCAACTTTCCCAATTGCCAAAAGGGCATGAGGAGCACTGCAATCAAATTTTATATAAAGAATTTAGCGAGATCCATTTTCCATGGAATGAAATGCTTTTCGGTGCTTATATTTTAGAAATTTGAATGAAAACTATTATTGGTGACGAAAGAAATAGACCACAAACCTTCCGGGAACCGAATTAAAATCCCCACAGACCAGCATTGGTATATCTGCACTAGCAGCTATCTTTTCCAAACCTTTTAACAGAGTATGAACCTGAAATATTACATGAGCACATCGCAAAACTTTTTAAAGAACGCAATAAAAATTATATCTTTTTTTGTAATTAGTTGCATAGGACCAAGAGATATGAGCTTAAGAGAATAACCTGCCATAGTTTGACATCCTTTAGATCTTGTTGAACGTTCACGTGGGTATTTGCCTACACACCATACAAGGAATAATTAAAACTATGGGACACGACACATTCAAAATCGAGGCTACGTTTCGCAAACTAAGTGATAAGCTTGTTGTTGGTTGATAACTAGTCATTGGTTAATCAGCTAGCTGTTAGATGATAAACTAGTCATGTTTAGTAAAAAGTAGCTAATAAGCTAGATCTCAATGTAAAATGACCTAAAATAACATGTCAAAATTTTTATTGGAAATATATAAAGAGGCATAATAGGAAAAGAAAAAAAAATGGGAAACAACCCCTAGAGCTTATTGAACCACTACTTTAAGTAGCTTTCCAAAAAGCAAACGTGGATTTTTCAATAAGCAATTGACAATCATGGCCTGAATTTGTTTTGGTTTGATATGAAAAATGATGCGTGTTCATGGTAGGCCAATAGGAAGGTAATATGTCTATAGCTATATCTATATATAGGGAGCCAGTTCAAATAAGACGGTAAATATCGTGAGAAGAAAAGAAGAGAAGGTTAATGGAAAGTTCATATGTGCATCCATTTACAAAATCCGGAAAAAAATCTATTTGAAGATGCACATGTGAACTGACATTAGAGATAATTCATATGAGTTCACATATGCAGTGGCAAATGGATTATTTCAATGATTCACATATGAACCTTCCTTTAATATGCAGCTGCAAATGGATTATTTCAATGATTCACATATGAACCTTCCTTTAATCTCCCCTTCTTACCTTCTCACCATATTTAGTCTTCTTATTTTGAACCTCCGACTATATACATTTATATGTGTGTGTGGATTGATATACGCAAGTTGTCGTATCTTACCACACAAACAAGTTGGCGCTTTCCTGGATTATCAACACCATGGTTACTGAACTTTGCTTCTAAAACGACAATCAATGCAACATTATCCTGTAACAAGCCAGTGTTCTCATCAAACTGACACGTTAAATCAATGAAATAAGCAAAAGAAGAATGTAGGCGAGCTACCTTAACCAACCGATTTAGAGCCGTTTTCTTCTGAGCGCTAGGAACCAAAGCATCGGTTAAAGATTGTGCAGCTTTATTAAACTCAACCTGCACATGCACCAATTACATTCCTGTTAGTAAGATGACGATACTAAAGCACCATCTAAATAACAAAAAAAATTATACCTCGTATTTTTTAACGTGTGAAAATCTATCTCTGCGGAAGAACGTAGCACATCCATCAATAGTCATGATACTTCCGTTAAAAACCTCAGCTGTTTTCTTCTTATATAGAGCCTGATACCCGTGTTTATCCAGCTCAGGGGCGAAAAATTCCTCAAAGTGATCACTTTGAACCTGAAAAGAAGCTAAATCACTTTTAGCATAACTTTTTAGTTGAGGTGCGCACAAGCAGGCCTGGACGCCCACAGTTGCCCACAAAAGGAAAAAAAACTCCAGATAAAATGGCATTCAACTATGCACATGTACCTCTTGAAGACAAACAATATCTGCCCGGTAGCCAACAATTTCCCGTAACAAATTTTGTCTGCGGTAAGGCCAAGAAAGAGCCCAGGAAGGGCAATAACCATACAACTCACTCGTGGCATATGAATCGGATAAAATGTTATAAGAGAGCACGGTAAAAGTCCCGGTGGACGAAGACCGCCCATCTACATCCAAATGCCCTGCCACATCAACATTGCTGACGGAAATCAATCGCCTTGGACTTGGGGAGGGAGCCGGAATCACACGAGAAGTTAATATCGTGCTTCCATGTCCAATGGGTGATTTCGTTTCAGCATCCACCACGACACATTCAAACTTAAGAACATGGCCAATATCGTCAGCCGTTGGTGTGTACGTTTTCGAACGTCCGACTTCAAACCAAGTTTCGCCGCCACTCCTTTGTGTCGCCGCGGCAGGATATAAAGGCGTTGCCCCATTTGCAAGGCTGGGGAGTGATTGCGAACTGGATAAGCTTGCATTAGATGTGGCATTATTATTAAACCGTCCAAATATCTCTTCCTCCTCGTTTCCATTTTCATTAACGGCACTAGCAGCACGTTCATGAAGAACACGATGGTGTTGCCATGCATCAGAAAAACATTTAGGAGAGCAATGGTAGCTTTTCGCAACGGGTATCTTGGCTTTAACACATCCTAAGCACTGCAAAGTGGCTTGCTCGGATGGATGTACACTACAGATAGCAACTTTTTTGTCGCTTTGAATACGGTACCTGCACAGCCACACAAACGCAGGCAGATGATGAGTTCCATAATAGATGCCATATGCTAGAAACCTTGCAAAGAGCAACTCATACAAGATTCAAATTCGCTAATGCAATTACATTGTTTGCTTAACGGAAACACAGCAATTAATATCTCTTATTAGTAGGGCTCAATAACTATCCTGTATTTGAACGTGTTGAACAGTTGGTTATTAGTTAATTTTATGGAGTTCAAAGAGCTTTAATAACTGTATGTCGTGAACTTGAAATTTGGGGGATTATGCATTACTAAGGGGCTGTTTGGTTGGTTTTCAATTAATCCTGTATGGATAAACCTGTCTGCGTGTAAAATCTATCTGTATAAATCCGGAAGGTTTTTGTTTGGAAGAGTTTTTTCATAGATGGAAGGAACGTGTTTTTAACTGGAAGTGGCAGTTTTGGGAAGAACTTAGTTTTCTGCATAAAGCTCCCCCATAGAAGCTAACTAAATAAGCCACTTTCTACATCCTTAAGTCACTACTAGACAGTCATGTATAGCTGACTGAATAAGCTGTGAGTTCCATTAAGCGCATTAAGTTGCTAACAAACAGAACCTAAGCAATACATAATGCTTAATAAGTCGTTTTCAAGACTTTTACCTAAATGCTTTATAATATAGTATAGATATAGATATGCATGAAATTAAGCAAGACCTTCAAGTTAAGTACAGGAAATAAAGATCACCAAAACTAGATGGGAAAAAACCTTGGTGCATCGAAGTTCTACCTAATGCCTCCGATAGAAAGGGTGATGATCCTTCCAGATTCATTACTGCTCCATACAACGTTCTTGTTTAAAGATGCATTTTTATTCGTATGATCGTCTAAACTAAAGAAGATGATACACAGTGGAAAACTAAAAGGTCTAAGGAGAACGAAATCTTTTCCTAACAATTTCAAAGAACAATCCATCCTTAAGGACCGACCAATCTAAAGCAATCAAGAATACGTAAAACCTAACCAACCCAAAAAAGAACAACAAAAAATTCTAATCTACCACCCACTCTAAAACTCATTGGTTCCTATTATCACCCCGAGTTAAAAGATCAAGATATCAAGTTACACAATAGGAAGCTGATAAACCTCCTTTGAGGTTTACGTATAGAAGGAGAAATCAGGTTTAAGTAGTTGAGTCGATGTTTCTTAGTTTTGAATAAGGGAGGGTAGTTT